TTGTCGTTGGGATGTACTTTGTCCGCATACAGATGCATCTTTATGTTCTTACCCTTGTCGTGAAAGTTATTGTTTATGTAATATACATTTTCAATATCTTCTGTGATTATCTGCAGAGATCTGTTAAGTTTAACTATGTCTTGGTTAAAGGTGGCTTTATCCACTCTCGGTAATATACTGGATACATATATTTTGCTGGTAGGGTAGGTATTGCGTGTATGGTTAATCAGCTGCTCATATTTGTTCTGGCATTCATCTAGTGGTATTCTATTGTCTACATCATTTGATCCAATGTTAAATACAATGTTCTGTGGGTTTTTAAACTTAGAATCTCTGATAAATGAGCTTGCATCGTCTAAACCTTTCCCACTTAGTACTTTGACATACGTCTTCTGGAGGTTGAAAATTTCTGTGGGTCTATACGTTTTATTATAGAGTCTCCTACAATCACTGTGTTGTAGCTTCCTTTGTTTGTTTTGTTGTGTTTACCTGGGCAGCTGCTAGAGATGGATCCTTCAGTTGCAACTGGTTGTTTTTTCCCACTTCTACTGGTTTTCTCATGTTGATGGACTATGGATATTAGGAGGATGTTCATCTAGTACTGCATATCGGTTCTGAGTAGGCACTGTGGCAATAAAAGGTTCCGCATTTATGTTCAGCACTGATTTCAGATTATCCATATCTCCAGCCAAAACTGCAGATGGTATGTCTGTTTGTATTCCAACACAAACTTTACTATAAGTTTGGTTGTGTGAGCTTTGTATATCTTTTAAGATATTAAGTATACTGTTTTGAGTGTCATGAGATTTGTTGATATTTTTCTTCAGAATTGAGATGTCACTGTTAGTTTTGTTCAGCTTTCTTGCATTTTATCCAAAGTTGCTTTTAATTCTCTGCTGTCTTCTTGGGCGAGTTTCTCTTGAGATTCTATTATCGCAGAGTGTCCAGTTTATCTTGTTGTAAACCATCAAGTTTACTGTGGAGATCATATAATTAGACTCATTTTC